GAGTAGTATATACTCCGTGCGCTTCTGCCGATGCTGTTGCACTTGCACCCAACGGCGAGTGGGGCGGGGGGTGGTCATTTCTGACCTCTGAGCGACGAGATGGCAGGTGCTGCCCGCGCGTCTCCCCAGCTGGTTTACGCCACGCTCGTGCTAGCGCTGGTCGTCTCGGCGCACGTCTCTGTGCTCGTGCGCGCCCAGCAGGACACGCTCGCCGCCGACCGGCCGCTCTCCGGCGACGCGAAGCTCGTCTCCCGGGGCGGCAAATTCGCGCTGGGCTTCTTCCAGCCAGGTATTTTATGCACATGTGCTGTACTCAACACGACTATTCATTTTTATGCCCTTCTACTCCTGTAGAGAAAAGAAACGACAGCGTGTAAGCTGCGCCTGAATGTACGTGACATGGTATTCACTATTCTGTCCTCGGCAGACGGAGGAGTCGCAGGCAGCTCGTACATCGGCATCTGGTACAACAACATCGCTGCGCGGACGCCGGTCTGGGTAGCCAACCGCGACAGGCCCGTCTCCGACCCGGCGACCTCGCGGCTCACCATCGCGCCCCACGGCGACCTCGTCCTGCTCGACCGCCCGTCGGGCACGCCCGTCTGGTCCACCAACGCCACCACCGGCGCCAACAGGCGGAACGCAACCAATAACGCCAGGGTCGTCGCCGTCCTCCTCGACACGGGCAACCTCGTGCTCGCGCCGGCGTCGAACGTCTCGGACGTGCTCTGGCAGAGCTTCGACCACATCGGCGACACGTGGCTGCCCGGCGCGAAGCTGAGGCGGGACAAGGCTACGGGCGTCATCCAGGGGATGACCTCGTGGAGGGCGCGCGGGGACCCGGCGCCGGGGCTGTACACGCTCCAGCTCGACCCGGCCGGCGCGCCGCAGTACGTGCTGCTGTGGAACGGCACGCGCGAGTACTGGCTCACCGGCGATTGGAACGGCCGCTTCTTCACGGGCGCGCCGGAGGTCGCCGCGTCGAGCGGGGACTCCGGCTACAGCTTCCGGTTCGTGGACGACGCGCGGGAGAGCTACTTCACGTACGACTTCGCCGACAACTCCACCGTGTACCGCTTCGTCACGGACGTGTCCGGGCAGGTCAAGGGGTGGTTCTGGGTGGAGGCGTTCCAGCAGTGGAACCTGGTGTACGCCGAACCCAAGGCGCGTTGCTCCGTGCCGCGCGGCTGCGGCGCGTTCGGCATCTGCTCCCAGGCCGCGTCCGGCGCCTGCGGCTGCGCCAGGGGGTTCGCGCCGCGGGACGCCGCGAGCTGGGACCTCGGCGATTACACCGGTGGCTGCGTCCGGAACGCTGAGTTGCAGTGCGAGGCGGAGAATGGCACCGCCGGTGCCGGCTCCAAGACAAAGGTGGTGGAGATGGATAGGTTCTTCCGCATGGACGGCATGAGGCTCCCCGATGACGGTCGCGTCGCAGGGGCGGCGAATCCCGGCGAATGCGAGAGAACGTGCCTCGGCGACTGCACATGCTCTGCTTACGCGTACAACGGAAGCTGCGTCGTGTGGAGCAGCGAGCTGCAAAACCTGGCGGACGGTTACGGAAGCCAGGCCGGCGCGGGGAGCCTCTACCTCAGGCTGGCCGCGTCGGAGTTTCCCGGCGCGAGGAGCCACAAGTGGAGGACTGTAGGGATCGCCATCGGCGGCGCACTCGCAGTCGTCTGCTTCTTGCTCATCGCGTCCATCCTCATCGTCCGTACAACGAGGGCACGGCGAACAAAGATTGCCCAAGCTGGACTCACCACCGCCGAGGGATGCGTGACTAGCTTCAAATACAGGGACCTCCAGTCCCTGACCAAGAACTTCTCCGACAAGCTCGGCGGCGGCGCCTTCGGCTCCGTGTTCCGGGGTCACCTCCCCGACGGCACTGCCATCGCTGTCAAGAAGCTGGAGGGGCTCCGGCAAGGCGAGAAGCAGTTCCGCGCGGAGGTGAGCACGCTGGGAACCATCCAGCACGTGAACCTGATCCACCTGCTCGGCTTCTGCTCCGAGGGCGGCGACCGGAAGTTGCTCGTCTACGAGTACATGCCCAACGGCTCGCTGGACCGGCACCTGTTCGGCGCCACGCTCAGCTGGCGCGCGCGGCACCACATCGCGCTCGGCGTCGCCAAGGGGCTCGCCTACCTGCACGACAAGTGCCGGGACTGCATCATCCACTGCGACGTCAAGCCGGAGAACATCCTCCTCGACGCCGACTTCGCTCCCAAGGTGGCCGACTTCGGGCTCGCCAAGCTCGTCGGCAGAGACTTCAGCCGCGTCCTGACCACCGTGCGCGGAACCATCGGGTACCTCGCGCCAGAGTGGATCAGCGGCGAGGCGATCACCGCCAAAGCCGACGTGTTCAGCTACGGCATGATGCTGTTCGAGATCGTGTCCGGGAGAAGAAACGTCGAGCACGGCAAGTCCGAGCCGGACTCGTCGTCTAGCGGCGCGGGCAACGGCCACGCTGCGACGGCGACGTTCTTCCCCTTGCTGGCTGCGAGGAAGCTGGCGGAGGCGGAGGGGGACGTGAAGGCGCTGCTGGACCAGGAGCTGGGAGGCGACGCTGACATCGAGGAGGTGAGCAGGGTGTGCAAGGTCGCCTGCTGGTGCATCCAGCACGACGTTGACGCGCGGCCAACGATGGCGGAGGTGGTGCAGGCTCTGGAGGGGCTTACGGACTTCGAGTTGCCGCCGGTGCCGAGGTACATGGAAGCGCTCATTGGACAATCGATGCACCAGATACAGTAGATTACAAGAAGTTCGCGAGTGTTTGATCCGGAATATGATCCTAGTTTGCAGCTGACTGTATAAGCTTTTTGTTCTTTCAGTCTCATTGCATATTGCAAGCATCATTCTGCACATGTCATATTGTATTAGTAGCAGCAGCAGCAAACATGTCTTTGTGTTGTAACGGACCGTATGTCTTATTGCGCGACCATCACCTTAGAAGACCAGTGTCAGCATTCCGCATTCAAATCAAAGTTGGAGGCCGTCTGAAATTTGATCTCAGACTCATAATAGCAGGCTTTGCTAAAATCATCGCTCAGGTCATGTATGGACTCTGTTTTCGACATTCTGTGTATGCACGTTCTATATATCATATATGCATGGAAAAATAAAGAGATCATCTTTCAATGGCGTCGGTTCCTACTCAAATTTTTTTCTAAAATCAACAAGAATCGTTGAAATAAGTGGTCGTCTAGAATCTGTCAAGCTGTTGCGCCACGTCTTTTAGACCATGTATCGTGCCAGAGTTCATTAGGGACACAGAGGATCCTTAGCCGTTCCTTAGACTATGTATTCAATAGCCGTTGTCCAAGTTAGAGTTTGAGTCTTTATAATTAGAAGCTAGATTGGATGTGGGATGCCTCCACTAGATTGATAGTTACCTTACATGATGACCAGGCCCGGTTCCCATCGATTAGGAACCTTGTCATATGTTATTATTGTTGGTAGGCTTGATGCACACACATATACTTTTATCCTTAGGACATATAGGTGTGAGCTTCTCAAGTGTCAAGAGGTACAAGTTGATCTCCATATAAAGAGTGTTTGAATCCATTACCACTAAAAATTAGCGGTTTAAATAGTACTAGTGGATCCAAACTGAGCTTATAATAAGGTCCTGTTTGAATCTATTTGCCATGGACTAAAATTTAGCTCCTAAACTTTAGTCATGCTGGGTTATTTGGATCCATGGGCTAAACTTTAGTCCTTCATCCTACGATGACTAATTTGCCCCTCAATGCATGCTGCGGCGGCGGTTGCAGGTGGGTGGGTGAGGGTATAGGGTGTCCAATGCGCCTCAATGCACTTTTAGCCCAGTTTAGGGTCTTTTGAGGAGCAAATGGGCAAATGCACTTTTTCCCTATTTGCTCACTTTTAGCCCACCTGTTTAGATCCTCATGGTAAAAAATGGACTAAAAGTGCAGGACTAAAGTTTTGCCATGGGTTCCAAACATGACCTAAACCTACTAATTATTAGCTGAAGTGTTACTGACTATCAGTTCCATTAGCAGGTTTGGAGTTGCTAATAGACGCTAATAGTTCATATACGCCTTTAACTCACTATCTAACCACACATTAGAGCAAATCTAACAGATTAGGTAAATTTGGATCGGTTAATTGGCTCTCTAGAACAATTTATCCTTTCTAAATCAAAAAGTTCCGCAACAGCTTCTCCAAACTGGCTTTCTACTTTTTAAACTTGCCTCACGTCATCAGGCCTGGATTAAACAAAAGCGACGTCACTTTGAAGCATGTTATCAAACACCCTCACAGCATCTCGACTGATGCTAGTGGAGGCAGCAGCTCGGCAAGCATGCCGGATGGAGTCCGCACATGCCTTGACCACATGGCCGCCTCAACCGCGCCGGCGGCCCCGCATGCGGCATCCGCCTCTTTTGGCTCGCCCATGCAGGCCTCGTCGTCGTCGGCGCATGCCTTACCCGTGCCAACAGCTCCCTTGTGCCCGCGGCCACACACGCGCATCGCCAACGCCCTCCTCTCCATAGCCACGGCCGTCTGATGGGATGGTCGCGATGCCTGGCAGGCGCGATGGATAGGATGGCGAGCGAAGATCGCTTGCTTCTTCTGCCGAGCGACAAAAGCGGGATGACGAGTTTGCTATTCTGGAGAGCCGGTTGACGAGGCTGTTGGAGCATATTTTTGCCTATCTTTAGCGAAGGCAAGTAGGATAGCTAGTCTGTAGGAGATGTACGTGTATCTAAACAGCCCCCTGTTAAAATTAGCAGCTATTAGCTAGCTAAGTTTTAGTGCATGGATCTAAATAGACCCAATTATTTTATTAGACTAAAGGCACTTTCGTCCTGCTTATACTGAAAGCATAGCGTACACCAGCTTACAAGATCCAGCGCAACCAACATAGAACGTTGTCAACAGACCCAAATTAAACAGGCAAGTATACATAACATGCTACAAACTTATAACACACGCATCCATGCATATTTCGTAAGTTCTTGCGCACTAGTTTTACTAGCTAACTAGGTAAGCAGGCGCTGCCTCTTATAAGTTGCCATTACTTTTCCTTTAGGCTCTGGCACTACCTTCCCCCAATCTGTCTCCGGGAAAGGAGACACCAGTTTGAGCTCAAAGTTTCTGAGCAAATGGCTCAACATCACCTTAATCTGCAGATAAGCATAAGCCTCACCAATGCAACTATGCCGCCCACAACTAAATGCCTCGTAAGTGAATTTACCGCTGGCTTTGTCCTCCACTCTCCCGGGTCCAAAACTGCTTGTGTCATACACATCAGGGTCCTTATAGATGTGAGGTAGGTGACTATTAAAAAGCACGGGGCTTGCTACTGTATGCCCTCTCGGGATCTCGTACTCGTGGCCATCCTTAGTTTGTACAGTGAAGTTCTTGTGTACTTTCCGAAGAAACACCCGTGATGGAGGGTGCATCCGTAGTGCATCCTTGATACTCCAATGCAGGGTGGGAATGCATTGTAATTAACATGGTCTCCGTAGTCCCTAAGAATCTGTTTTTGCTCCTCAACCATAGCTGTCAAGGCCCTTGGGGTGCTAAGGGTGTGTTTGGTTTGAGGAATGGGATGGTCCATCTTCTTCTCACCCATCACTTTTTGTATTTGGTATGTGGAATGGAATGAGCCGATCCATTACCACCTCATTCCTCACAAACTAATAAGTAGTATATGCATGATGAATGAGTTGATTCCACCAAAATTCATAGGATGAACTCATAATGCATCACCTCACGATGCATGGGGTGATTCCACAAATCAAACACACCCTAAGTAGGCGAGCTCCGGTCCATGTGCTGGCAAGGCTGTTGTTGTCCATTCCACCAAAAACTAAGAGCATGATCAGACCGGTAACCTCTTCTACGGCCGTCCATCTTTGTACTTGGAATCTATCAAGCTTTGAACATATCTTGTTCCTCGACTCTGTTGATGCTCCTTCAAGACCTCACGATCTCACTGAATATCTCTAAGGGCCTGTTTGGAACGAAGGAATAGAAAAAACAAATAATAGGATGGATGAGTAGTGGTAAAACAGAGGAAAGTAAAAACACAGGAAATGAGTAGACAAGGGTGTTTGGAACACATGAATTCATAACACTGGAATGGCTGCTCTAGCAAGGGCGAAGCCGCGCCTGGTTTTCTAGTGAATGGATGAGATTATTTCTAATAGAACATCAACATGTGAATGATAAATGACCATTATTAGTGCTTAATGAAATGATAATATGTTAATTGCACATTTTTATCTATGACTATCTTGTACGTGGGGCCATTGAACCTTCATGCAAGTGGGCGGCAAATAAAAAATACAGAAATAATCTCATCCATTCATTGCTTTCCCATGTGTTTCTCTCTCAACTCTTTTCCAGAGGCACGTCCGCATAGCCTGGAGCGTGTGCGGCGGCCGGGCGCGACGAGACCGCTGTGAGGCCGTCGGGCGTGGGCGCGGGCGGCGTAGAGAGGCGGAAGCCGAACGGGGCGGGCGACGCAGCCTGAAGCGACGCAGCGGCCAAGCGCAGGCAAGCGTGACGTGGTGGCCGGACGTGGGGAGGCCGAGCGGATGCGGCGGTGCGGCGCCTGATTCTTCCATTCATATGGTGATTAGCTGTTCGTTTATCTCTTTCTCGTGTGAGTTTCCTCGGGCAAGCGCGAAGGAAATGAAAACCAGAGATCGGAGTGGATTCTTTTTTTCCTCCAAAACAATTGGCATTTCCTTTGTTCCAAACGCAGATTCTCACTTCCTTTCCTTCGTCGATTGGCATTTCCTTTGTTCCAAACGCGGATTCTCACTTCCTTTCCTACGTTTTGCAATTCGTGTACTTTTCCTTTGATATTCCTACAATCCAAACGTGGCCTAAGAGCTTGGCATGCGCTCTATCACGCCTACGGTTTATTGGAGTTGGGGCATATGAGAATAAAACACTGGAGACGCTCATGCCATTTTTTAGCTCGTGATTTTTTTTTTGAAATGAAGCTCGTGAAATAGAGTGTGCATTTCATCAAACATCTTCTCCCGAACCTCCTTACCGAGTAGACACCGGCTTGATATATCAGCATGAGTAACTGACTGAACTCATGTTTTAAATCAACTATGCCTTCTTGTCCCCATTTTGCAAAATTACCCTATGATAAAACACACGATTACACTGTAAGCTCACTGAAAAACATACATAATGCATGCACTCGATTGATGTATTCAAATAATTAAGTGATATATGCTTGGTGTTCTAGTAATTAACATCTGCTAGCTACTTATATACTTTTTTTATACCTCTACCCAATATAGCTCAGAATTTATTTCATAAATAAATATGCATACATAATAAAAGTCGGAGGTGCGTTTGCTACTCGCCTCTACTTCTTGAATGATGGGATCAACGTGTATCCTCAACTCTGAAGGACGTTTTAGTGGATCACTGTAGTAGAAGCGGATCTGCTCTGTTCATAACGGGTGGCAAAATCTGCACCATAGCCTACCTCTTTGCCAAACATGGGCACCATGAACTCAAGCATGTTACCATGATTAATATCTGACTCTAGCCCATTGTAGAAATGATTTAACATGTCTGGCCCCACCAAGAACGTTGTCTTCAGTAGTCCAAAGAAACTTAGTTCCTGTTCGGTAGGACTGAAAAATACTGTTACGGCTGATTGTTGTGAGAGAAAAATACTATTCTGGCAGGACGTGAACAATGATTTCATGAGTGGCCTAGCCAGCCACCCAGCCGGCAACCAGCCAGCCGAACAACCTCTTAACCGTGAACACACTTCCCATCCTTTTATGTTCATCATGGATCGTAGCTCGTAGACCTTTTGTAAGAAGCGTGTGCACAAATCGTATGAGAGATGTGCCCTCCACGACTGGTGGAGTTGTTGGCATGGTACATCTTGGGCCAAACATAGTTCTTCCTTTTGCAATCTTGGTGGCTATGGCAGCAATGAGAACAAAAGACATGGTGAACCACACAGCACAAGTTTTTTTTTCTCGAATACGCAAAAGATTTGTGTATAATTGTAATTAAGAAGAATGGTTTAACCATACACACGACACGCTTCTAATGAGCGCCCTATGAGATCTTACAGTTGTGACTGGACCTTCCTATCAGACTGTTTCAAACTTCGATATTACATAAAAGTAAACAACCGAACTAAGAGCAGCGCAGTAACATACGGAGCTAGGCGTCTCCGCTACTGGCCGTGCGACCCTGCTCCGTCATCCGAGAAGAGTCTTCTACCAGTCCTAGCATTGGTCGCCGGGAACAGCTCGTCCAGTGCTTCCACTTCGCTCGATGTCAAGTTCCTTGCGAATAAGTCGTCGTATGCTCGCTTGGACGCGGATGAGATTGGAGTTGCCGGTGGTGCAAAGCCCATCCTCTGCATGAGGAGCACCTCGCCCCGCTTGGAGGTCGGAATGTGCGCCAGCGGCTGAGCGGCAATCTGTCTGCTCCGTTTTGGCAGGGGTTGCCTTGTGGTTGCCACCTTCTGCCTTGGTGGGCTGGCGATTAATGGCAACATTCGCTTGAGCTGCACCTCCTCAGTGAACCGTGCGAGACGCCGGGCAGCTTCGCGTGGTGTGGACATTGCGTCGCTGGGGGTGGTGTAACCATCTGCGACGCCGGGTGCTCCCGCTCGTGGTGGCGTGAGCTGTGGCGGCCCGGCGACATCAGAGACAAGTCTGTCGTCCACTGAGCAGCCGTCGCCGGGGAACAGGTGTCCGTCACTGGTGCTTCAACCTCTTGAGGGGCTGTCGTAGCAGGCAGACACTCAGGTGTTGCTGCTCTAGTTGTTATTATATCCATGTTGCTATAATCAATGATCATTGGTGGAGCTAACCAGCTGGTTCACAATACGAAGACAACTGCGAGAACACGAGCATGAGTTGATAACAGGAGTAGTACCAAAGAAAATAAACGGTCTTACATGGCCTAACAAAAGCATCAGGGAATGATGGATTGTCGTTTGTCAATCACATAACTAAATACATTGCTCAATTTGTTATCGACTGCAGAGTACAGTAGAAGAATCCTTAGTGTAATTAAAGCCCTGTGCTTCTCCTCCCGTAACAGTTCCAACTTCTAAGAATCTTTTTTTAATGAAACTGGAGGGGTGTGAGAACTTCTAGGAATCTTATGCACTGTAGAGGTGTTCTCTCTCCTACCAAAATGAACTAAAACTTTGTTAAGTAAAAAGAAATGGCTTCACTGGCTTCGGCTCCTTTATGTATTTTTTTTTTGAATTTGGCTCCTTTATGTATTATTATAGCATAGAACCCAAAGTGAAGCTAGAAGAAGCCTTCTCAAATGGACCCTAAATAAGGGAGTTCCACGAGTACATTCAAGCTATTGCCAATAGTATGAAAGCAGAATGATTCCAAAGTTTAACTTCCAAGCACTTATGGATGGGCAGATGACAAGAATAGGGAAACACAAGGTAGCTTTTCTGAAGCAAAAACAAGCAACAATTTACAATATTTTGATAATTTAGTTTATTTTTACAAAAAAATGAAAATAATAAATTTGTTCCTCTAGAAACAAGAATAGAATGTTAAGTAATCTGCTGCTCTCCTGTGTGAACGCGCGGCAGGGGCAGGCGCTGAAAGGGCTCCCTGCCGCTACACTGTAGCTGCTACAGGGGTAGGCGCCGAAAGGCTCCCCTGACGCACTGTAGCCATAGCAGGGGCAGACGTCAAAGTCAGCCCTGCTGTCACATCTAGTCAATATAGCAGCATGACAGCCTGACATGTCTGTATACTAGGATTAGATAGGTAAAGTTATATATATAGTTTCCCACTGTAACTCACTGAAGAGAGCGAGTTCAGTTTTGCCATCTCCTCTGCAGAGCTCAGCCAACGCTGGTGCTGGTGCTGTGTGTGTACTGTTCTTCCTCCCTTCTTCTACCTCTAGCCATAGTGTGTAGTCGACAATAACAGTGAGCGGTCGGCTCACCCGTACCGGAGATCCGGGGCCAACATATAATACCCACAAAAAAAACAAGAATATAATGCATACTTTAGATTGATTCAACAAAAAATACAACTGAATCAACTCGAAATGAAGGACGCGCTATGCATGTGCGCTTCTTGAACTACTCCCTCTGAATTGCTCTGAACTGAAGTTATGGAGATTCTGAGTTAGTACGGCACATATATAATGAGGTGGATTAACTAGTGCTAACAGAAAGGACGACAACCTTAAGAGGGACCAAATGAATACAGACACCATAAGTCAGTAGCAGAGATAGATCCTCCATACAAGCTATCAAAGTTTTGCTGATTAAATAAGTTGATTTGTCATTAACCAAGCCGGCAAAGTTTTTTTTAGTTGTGATAGTGACTTACGGTGGCTGCATTTTATTTTATTTTATCTTATTTTGCGGGGATACGGTGGCTGCATTAATTCGATACCTCTGGATGATTGTCGT